TGAAATTTGGCACAAATGTTCCTCTTGGTTTCTAGGTGCTCTTCTAAGAAAGGATTTTTTGAAATGACCATCAGAGCATTGGTATTTCCTATATTATTATTAACACGCTCTGATGCTAAGGAGTTCTACTGCCCTTCCCCACCTGAAAAGAAATCTTCCAAATGCAAAACACAAACAGAGGAGTTTCAGTTTTAGTTTCACAGCAGCAAGCAGGTTTAGTACAGAAAAGTTGGGCTAAGCCATGCCCAGGCTCCTTGCTGTCTCCTTGCTCACACAGCAAATACTGTGTCACTTTCCAAACAGCCCTCAACTCTCACACTGATAGGATGCTAGCCAGATGAATACCTGTGGATGCTGGTAAGCAGAGGCAGAATTTTTTCCCCTTATTTTCCTCCCCAAAAACTAAGCCCGACCACATAGTTTTGTAGCAAAACACGGGTATCGAGCTAATGAATCATATGGCCATTAATTGAATCTAGCTTCCTTCATTGACTTTACTTGTTGGAGAATCATGTGAAGACCAGTCGGAAGTCACTTTTTTTAGTGTGTCTATAACTTTGAACACTCGCTGAATGAATGGCTGTAAATTGAATACTCTTGCCTCAGGGGTGTCAAAGTCACGTCATCACGGCATTGTTACGTGACATATTTCCCCCCCATCGCTAATCTGGGTGTGAGTGCGCACAATGCATCCAGCCCGCGGGCCCGCAAGTTTGACAACCCTGCTCAACCTGTATCTCTGCTGCCATCTATTGGCAGTTCCAATTTTTGCAGTCCAGATATGGTAGCGGTAGCTATGTTTCCCAATCTGACCCATTTCAAGACATGTGGACTTCAACTCCCAGAATGCCCCAGCCAGCGTGACCATTGCTAAGCCATTCTGGGAGTTGAAGTCCACACGTCTCAAAATTGCTAAGGTTGGGAAACGCTAGCATAGCTTAAGGTGCTGCTATTCTTAAGGAAAAGACAGCCAAATAGCTATTAGTGAGAAAATAGTGCCTTCATTTATATCCTTTTCCCACTCAAAATGGTGCTCAAGAGAATTAACTGAAATACATGTAAGTTATATTTCTGATTATAAATCCCTCTCAGGAATAACAAGAGCACCAAGGAGATTTAAAACTATTTTAACAATTTACCTCATTGCAGCAAGCAGTAGAGTTTTATTATGCCTTTGTAACTAACCACGGTAAATAAAATGATTCAGATAATAATACATACATCATTCCCTCATAACGTGAGCTTCTGAATAAAAGGTACATGGCACGTAATATTAGACTCTCTTTCTTCAAAGTCTCAGGTAAAAATTTAAAGACCCATGCCTGGCCAAAAGCAGCAATTCAATCTTTCATTTCCACCCTAATTGCATTTTTAAATTGGAAACAGGTACTTCTTTTTCTAACATTCCCTGCTATTATTGGAAACCAAAGGGCCTTCTGACTACATAACTGTTTCCTTTCATTTTCATGGCTACTTCCTCCCTCCTGTGGGAGAAAAGAGCTGGGATGGCATTAACACAAATAAATTTAAAAAAAAGATGTGGAGACTCAGTCTAGAAAGAGTGCAGAGAAGATATAAAGAACGGTTGCTGGAATTGGGTAGGTCTAGTTTAATGAAAAAAAGGACTAGGGGTGGGTGACATGATAGCTGTTCTGACCCAGGCTTTGTCCAAAGTAAGGAAACACAAACTAAGTGTAAAATAAAACCTATTTTAATGCAATGCTGAGAATTTCTTGCATTTCCAGCCAAAACTCATTAGACACAGGGCTTCAATGAGGAATCAGAATCTAATCAACTTCTTTGCTTCCTGCAAAGAGCATGTCACCAAGGGCTGACTTTTATCCCTTATGGGAGGGGCAATCACCTTCCAGCCTTACTCTCGAGTCAACCCCTCTGCTTCAGCTGCTCTCTCCTTCTAGCAGCACATGCACACTGGGAACAGGCTCCCCAGGGTCCTCTGCTTCACTGCTGCCAGATTCCAAACGCAGCACCCCACTCCCAGATGGTCCTGGCCCCATCCCTGCATCGGACGCAGGACCCTCGTCCAAGTCCTTGCCAGTCTCCCTGACTGGTCCCTTTCGTCCTCACTGTCCGATACCTCCAGTACCGGCTGCCGGCGAATCACAACAGAAACAGTCTTCCAATATTTGAGGGGCTGCCTGTCACAAATTTTTTTATAACTTGCAGAATTCCAGGGTCATATGACTTGATGGTAACAAGCCAACAATCAATCCTTCTCTCTTCCCAGTTTAACTCCTACATCAGTCTGGCTACTCTGGGCAGCTGAGTCAAGCTCACGCCTCTTCCTAAAACTGGAAAAGATGCTGTGAGACTTTTGGGTTTTTTTGCTCCTATGAACTAACTAATTAGAACTGCAAAATAATAATAATAATAATAATAATAATAATAATAATAATAATAATAATAATAATAATAATAATAATAATAATAATAATAATAATAAT